TATCCCCTTTTTCCTACTATTCCCTAACCTAACTTACCTGACAAATAACTTAATAGATAGGGTATTACTGTAATTATAATAAAAAATTTATAAAAAACAGTTATCATAATTACTATTCATAATAATCATTGTTTTTTATGACCGGTACTATACATGTAAATTAAATTTTAATAATATAATATGCTGGTTCCATAACAATATTATACACCAAGTCCTTTATTGTACTTATAATTAATACACAATATTCTCCACATAATTAGTAATGCAAAATCTTTACCCAGATAAAATCAAACACCCACTCGAACACAATATACAGTGAGCCCTCCCTTAACCACAAACCAAGGGTACCGCCTAAATCAGCCACCAGTTCCCAAAATGTAAAATTTGGTTGGTGTGTAATTAATTTATCAGGGACCATGTTATGCAAAATTTCCACTTCGGACTTTGAACAGAATGAATCGTCTTTTAATTTATCTTGCACAATCATTATATTCTCGTAAACACGTTCATGGCAATCTTTATTGCAAATACTCTCGCACTTTTCAATAGCTCGCATTGTATCAGGCTCAATATTAATATCAGTTACTATGCCCTCTGTATTGGACACGACACGACACGAATTTGTATCAAGATGATTTTTAAAATTAATTAACCTTGATAAATACGTAATTGAGTATGTATTCACGCAACCATAAGTAGTATTAAATTCCGATATAAAACATTCAGCTAGACAATCGCTACGTTTATGGTTACCATGATAATTTTTACATTTGGTCATATAGGGGGCTGGTAGCAATTTGGTGTATATCTCACTGTAGGTTATGGTGTGATATATCTATGCGTTGAAAATGTTTTTTGGGTATAAATTTGGGCAAAATATTGGGCGCGTGTACAGCAATATAGGTTCCGTATAGGGGGTCACCATTATAGCTATTATAGTTTAATTTTACTTTAATGGTAAATAAATTCATTTTCAAATTTTGCCAATTGTGACCCAGGTCACTGAAGTAGGTTAAACATTTACGTAGTCTATGTATCGAGGTGATACTTTCAATTGGGTGTTCATCAACTAGCTCAATATATGTGCCATTAGATAGATCGCCGCTAAGTGAGCCTACTACATTATTAGTATAATCGTTGTCAAACGTAATGCCCTTTTACAATTTGTCCAATGTGATATTATGACCAGCGTGACTTTTTATATAATCAGCAAAAACTTTGTATATAAGCATTAATGTGCTATCAATTAATTGAGCAGGATCACAATTAATCTTTCTCTTACTAGCAGTGTTTAAATAATAACGGTAAAGCCCTTTAAATGTATCCGGATATAGCTGGGACATTTTAACATAGATATTAGCGTTGGGTAGCAAACGGTAACTGCCGGTACTCTGGACTCCGGGAATGTTTCCACTTTAAAGTCAGTAATTGTTTGTCCAAGGTTGTATTGGTGTATTAGCTGGTAGCACTGGTAGCTAAAACCACCAAGGCACAAGCATAGAAATAAAAGCCAGATTAGGTTTTTGATGTATGTTTTGTTGATTTTAGACCAGATATTATTATTATGTTGAGCAATGTCAGTTTTTGTTGATTTTTAAGTATTTAGGTTAACAATCACTGCCATGATAAATTAATATATTTCAAAAAAATTAATTACACTTTATTAGATTATTTTAATTAATTTAGCAAGTCCTGTAAACTAGGTAAAAATTTAGTATTAACTTTGTGCAAGTAAACAATTAATTAAACTAAATTTTTAGTACAAAAGATGTTTTATAAATTAAGTACATTCGTTATAAACAGTATGAGTATTTATTTACTAAATGATATAATTAAACAAAGTGTATTAAATAATATTATAAGCTATTAAACAATGTCATTTTTGAGAGTTGATAAGATATATTTATCAAAAATTATATTGTTTTTAGTAGATTCAGAGAAAAGACTTTTTATAAATGTTTATGATAAAATATAACCTATTATGTTTAGATAATTGCTTTATAAAGTAATTGCATCTTTATAAATACATAATCCTAAAACTTAAAAATTACAAAAAATAACATACTTAATACTTCATTCCAATTTATTTATAAAAATTTTTAATTAATAATAACTTTATTAACAACATTATAAATTACAGCTTAATAATGATTAATAATTTGAAGATTTTAATTAGTATATAAAGAATTAAAATTGTATTTTAAAATTTACGTAGAACAAATTGATAATACGGGTATATTTTCCACATTACCTACTATATCAGTAGATGATAATGGATTATTAGTAAAATTTCAAATTTACATTTAATTTTAAAATTGATTAAAATTTTTAGTTGTAAACTTTGTATTTAATAGTTTAATTAATATTGAAATAATTATTTAGCACAATATTATTATACACAACGAAAAATAATATAAGAAATAGATATAGCTAGTTTAAACATTTACAAACTGTCAATATTAGTTTGTTAAAAAATTATATTTACATAGGTAGTTTGATAAATAGCTAATACAAACATAATTTTAAATAAAGTAAAACTGTTATCAAATTGTCCCAAAATTAAAATAAAATATAATTAAATAAATATCATATTTATATTATATATAGCTAAACAGTTCGTTTATTTAATGAAAATTAATATTTTACATAATTGCTAGGTTTATTATAAATCTTAAATAGATATAATAATAAATTAAGTATAAACCACCTAAGTATATTATTATTTTCTAATATTTATATAATTAATTATTATTTTAGTTCACTAACACTGTAAACATAAATGTCCTAAATCTGCAACAACATATATCTAATTTTATGAGCACCGGTATGTATCGCGGCAACATTATTTCTTAAGCATTGAAAACAATTTTTATTGTTTAAGTTTATGTTATTATAATTGTATAACAATTTCCGATTCATAATAACACACATGAAATCATAGCTACAATAATGAGTCGGTTTGAGATAAAAGCTATTTATTTATACATTACATATAAAATTATATATAAATTATAACACAATTAGTATTATAACAGAAATAAGTGCTATGAAAACAACTCATAAAACTATTATTTCATTATTAATCCACAATTAAATTCAACGAGTTACTTATTTATATAAAATTTACTATTATTTAAATACCTAGTTATAAATTACCCTAAATCATGGCTTATAACAGCAGTGTTTATAAACACATTTTACTATTAATCATAATATTTATAATCAATACGAATGGTGTGTATAATATTGATGTGGGTGAGGGTGCGGTCAAAGTGGTGTCACCGGTGCCCAGACACCAACTCCTACTCCGACGGCTACTGCAATATAACAGTCGGCCCTACAATATGTGCTCAAACAGGGATAAGGAGAGAATGCAGCAATGTGATACTTATGCCGCCGATGATTGGGATATCAGCGAGGTGCCCCAGGTTAGTTTAAGTTATTACAAGAATATTTAATATTTAATTTAACGTACAAGTACAATAATGTATTAGTTTTAAAATATAAGCTGTAATTGTTTATTAAAATATACTCAAAGTATTAAAGTTATGATAAGTTTCGACAAAAAATAGTTTTGAAAATTTTAAGCTGTGTACTTTTTTTTGTAAATTATTAATTAACTCCGTAAATAAATAGTTTTTGTTAATTTATAAAAACTAATCCTACTAAAATAGTTTTTCAAACAAATAATGATTTATAAGTATAATTTTTGTTTTTATTAAAAATTAAATTTATTTATTAATCCCAAAGCTGTAAATTATAAATCTCATTTCAAATAATCAATACAATATTTTAAAAAATATAAATTTGGCAATTTTTGTAAAAAGTACATTTTAATTATAGAATAACTAGGTGATTTGCTTTTAAATTACAATAAAAAATAATTATACCAATAGGTTTATTAGTAAAATTAAAATTTAAACTGTAAACTAACAATTAAATATAAAACTTATATGTTGTAAAATGGCAATTTAAAAATTGGATCAATATGAATTCAAGTTTTATTAAATAACTATTTATAAAATTATATTTACTTTTCACATCCGGTTTAGGACTATTCATCCAGGCAACAGTGTTGCTACCAATGGCAATCATTAAAATGTCAACTCAAGATTTTACGTAGGTGCGATAACACGTATGCCGATTGGCTGGAGTCCGACG